AAAAAGCCCTCGCTCCTGCTTCAATGAATAGACTAATATGAACAACGTTTGCAACCATTAAAGTAGCTCTCACTCCATCAAGATTTTAGTGATCTTCATAACTAAAAAATTAGATAGCAATGCCCGAAAACACGTACAGCAGTACATATTAAAAAAAAAATTAATGAGGGGAAAAACGCGCACTGAATTACACAACCCAAACCTGCATTGAAGAAAAGAAAACTGAACTAAGAATTCCGTGCATTAAATTTTTTTATAATCATATAAATTACGTTTAACAATATAAATGCCAATATGTCTATGTGTACGCAAAAAGTGAGCTCTGGAAGAGTTAGTCTTTTGAGGAGCGTAAACGTCTATGCAGTTCTTATTTATAGTGAATATGCGTTTTAAACATAGAGAACGTGCCGAGCACTATGTGACATCCGCGCAATTTGATGATGTATTGCGCTACACGGAATGTTATGCTTCTCTGCTGCAAAGAAGTGATGCAAAACTGCTGAATTTTGTGCACCATGTTTTTATTATAGTTAAATGCATGATATTAACATATTTAAATATAAAATCGCTTGTGCCGCTGAGGCATCAAGCAATGTCTACTCTCTAGGATTTTTACATCTCATTGATTAAACAGGGCAAAGAGAGGAATAGGGGGCGATTGAGACGCATGAGTAGTGGTTCTTCGGTAGCGGGAGCGATTCTTTATAAATCATCATGCGGAAGTCTAATCGGATTTTTTGTAGGTCTCCAAACTGAAAAACAAAACAAAACAGTATATTGTGAAGGATGAGAGATGTGTCTTGTAGCCAAGAGCAGATAAAAAACAAAACAATTTAACAAAAAAGTGACGGATGCGATGAAGTGAAACGCTGCACTTAATAAAGAGCCGTGTTTTGATCCATTGCAGCTACGTTTTTTTTAATAGATCCTAGAAAAACGAGAAGAGCATAAGGCTCTAGAAGCTGTATTTATGTAATATAATAATGACAAATGACGGAGAAAGTTCGGTCACTTATCTCACTACTGATAGTGCAGAGGCTTGATTTATGTTGTAGATTAAAATATAGAGACGCATTTCCATTCGCCGTGCGTCTTTATCCAATGTGTTTACAATTTTGACAAATGTTCATTGAATATAATGATTCCTTAGTTGCGATATTGACCGAACGAACATATTAGCAGTCTCAATAAAGTTGTGTTTAAAAATAATTCACGAAACTGCGAGGATTAATTGAAGCATAAGAGATACGATAAAACAAAATACATGTTCACACATGTCCTTTTTATACATTTTTGATCATACCTGGTGGTTTCCGTTGTTCCTAAAATGTATAATGTCAGTTCAGTGCTCGTGATACTTCTTTAGTTGAATAATATGCCCATAAGCTAAAATAATATGTGAAATGACGCAGGCAAGCGATCTCGGTCCGGACGAAACCACAAAGAAAACATTTATAGGCATCCTGCGCTGCCCAGGAGGCGCTGCGAAAAATGACTTGTTAGGACTTGTTTTGGGTAGTACAAACTTGAGCGACTTAAACTGCCACACATATAGAAGCGTGCCTTCTCTGGCGCGAAGCACGATAACGAGGAAAATAGAAAAAAAGAAAAACTCAAAAAATGCTAACCAACGCCGTCGAAGCACAGGCCAAAGCTAGGACGATAAGAGCGTGAACTAAGAAACGCCGTATCACGCGTCCCAAAGAAACATAGTGGGGAGGAAAGAAAAACAACGTCGGGACGCCAGATGTTCTAACGTCACCACTTAGAGATACGAGACGCGTACCCTAGCGGCGGTGGCATGAATCCGGAACTTTCGACTGTCTTGAGGCGTTGAATGTAGTCGATTTCGGACGCCCAAAGGCGTTTTTCCGCTCTTCTGCACTACACAAAAGGAAAAAAATCACAGTGAAGGCGCCACAATAGTGCGAGTCCCAGCTAGGTGAGCTTGTACTACCCAAAACGAGGGCGCCACAGCTTGTTCAAAGCTTCAGCGCAGGAGGCCCATTGCCAAGAACCGCTTGTTCTTATATTCCTTCGGGGTGACGTCACACGGGCCGTGTGCAACTTATCGACTAGATAAGAACGCTCGCGCTACGACACTCCTCCGCGCTTACATTTTTGCTATTTCCGAAAGTCCTTGTGTTGAAAGCGGTCCGGGGGACGGCGTTCACGAACACCACGACGCAGCACGATGTGCGACTCGTCCTGAGTCCGGCTGCGGAGTTCACCGTCGTCTGTCGTAGGGGCCGCGTCGGACGTCGGATGGATCGGCGTTGACTGTTCCGATTCGTAGCCTGGGATCGAAGACGCGTCTGAGTTTGTCGAGCCGTGCGCTGGTAGCAATGCACCGTCCGAAGGCTGCGTTGGGGTTACCACCAGTGGCTGTAGCTCGTCGCGACGCACACTTGCCTGGTCGCCACACACACTCACTGGTTCAGTTGTAACAGGTCGTGCGAAGGAATGACGCAGATGGTCTGCGTGCATAAATCGAATTTGACCACCCGCCACGCGCACAAGATACGTCACTGGGCTAACAACCTGAGTCACCGTGCCGTCGTCCCAGGAGATGTTCTCGCCACGCACACACTTAGCATACACTCTCTCCCCAACAGCAAATGCGCGCTCGGTGCCCCGATGTTTATCTTTCTGCTGTTTGCTGTTTAACTGTTTATCACGCATATCCCGAACAAAATTTGGCTTGAGGAAAGACAACTTGATCCTCGGTTGCCGATTTAAAAAAAACTCGGCAGGTGTCTTCCCTGTTATGGAATGCGGCGTGTTTCGATAGCTCATCAAAAAGCTGTCCAACGCTTCCTGGAGCGTTTCTTTTGATCGGGATTGAGCTTGGGATAACAGTTGTTTTAACAAAGCACGCTTTGTGGTCTGCACTAAGCGTTCGGCAGCTCCGTTTGAAATCGGGTGATAGGGCGGTGCCTTTGTGTGCTTGATGTTGTTAGTCGCCAGAAACTGCTCAAATTCCTGGGAAACAAGCTGGGGCCCATTATCACTGACGATTTCCTCAGGAAACCCGTACGCTGCAAACACATTTCGAAGTTTGCTGACTGCCTGTGAAGTGATAGTAGATGTCATAAGCCATACTTCTATCCATTTAGAATATGCATCTACTAGAACCAAAAAATTGTGTGGTCCCTTTGCAGCGAAATCAATGTGTACCCTTTGCCAACATTTAGAAGGGTAAGGCCAGGGGTGCAAGGGAACAGCTTGTGCCGCCGGTTGCACGACTTGGCAAACTCTGCATTGCCTGACGTACTGTTCTACTGCTTTGTCTAGCCCTGGCCGCCAAATGTAGCTTCTTGCTAACATTTTCATTCTGGTGGTGCCAGGATGATCCTCATGCAGCAGTGACAACACGGCTGGTCTCAATGCCTCTGGCACAACAACCCTTCTGCCCCAAGTCAGGCAACCTTGTTCAATAGATAGTTCTAGTCGTCGGACAGAGAACGGTTGCAGATCATCTGCGATGTCTACAGGCCAACCAGATCTAGTATACTCAACTACCCGGCAGAGTGTACCATCTCGTGCTGTGGCTTTGGCTATGTCTGCTGCTGTTAATGGAGTACATTCAAAGACAGAAAGGCATTCAGCTGTATCGGCCTTTGGTCGGGACGGAACAGGGAGCCTTGAAAGCGCGTCAGCCACTTCGGTTTGCGATCCCTTGCGGTATTTAAGGGTATACTGATAAGCTGCCATGATTAAAGACCACCTTTGCAGCCTTGCAGCCGCCTGTGATGGAGTCGCTTTATCCTGGCTCAAAATGCCCAAAAGGGGCTTATGGTCCGTATATAGAACAAATTCACGGCCAAAAAGATACTTGTGGAACTTTTTAAGCCCGAAAATTAGAGCAAGAGCCTCCCTTTCACACTGCGCGTAATTTTTTTCCGCTGTCGTCAGTGTTCGCGACGCAAAGGCTATCGGGCGCTCGTCTCCATTCGGCAAGACATGAAAGAATACCGCCCCGACGCCGTACGCTGACGCGTCACATTGCAAACCCAACGGTTTGCGTGCGTCGTAGAAAATGAGGGCGCGGCTGTTGATAAGCAGCTGCTTTGTCGCGCTGAATGCGTTACTGCACTCTTTCGTCCAAAGCCAGCGTTCTCCTTTTCGAAGCAGCCTGTACATTGGTTCTGCCACCGATCACATATTCTTGAAAAACTTGCCGTAAAAGTTAAGCAGTCCCAAATATGCCTTGAGTTCCGTAGTGTTTGTTGGCTCTGGAGCGTGGGTGATTGCTTTTACTTTTTCATCTGTTGGATAAATGCCATCCGCACTTATTTTATGGCCAAGGCATGCTAATGAGCTCCGAAAAAACTTGCACTTCTCGAATTTAAGCGTAAGGTTGTACTCGCTTAGTTTTTCTAGTACCCGTTTGAGTGTCCTTTGGCAATCATCCACGTCGCGGCCAGCTATAACGTCGTCGAGGTAGCACCCAACGTTTGCGATACCAAGCAAGACCTTGTCCATCAAGGACTGAAATATAGCAGGGGCACTCGCGATCCCATAAGGGAGTCTATTATATTGATAGAGCCCCTTATGAGTGTTTATTGTTACAATCTGTCGGGCTTCCGGGCTCAGTAACACTTGCTGGTAGGCTGATGATAAGTCTAGCGCACAAAACACTTTGCCTTCCGCAAGGGCGGTGAACAACTCCTCTGGTTGCGGTAACGGGTAATGATCCGTCTTTAACACTGGGTTCACTGTGACCTTATAGTCACCGCAGAGCCTCAGCTCATCGCCTTCTTTCTTTGGAACCACCACCAGTGGAGTAGCCCAGTCGCTCCGACTCACTCTCGTGACAATGCCCTGCCCCTCAAGGTCAGACAGCCGCTTTTCAGTCTGTTCGTGCAGCGCGAAAGGTAGCGGTCGTGCCTTGCAAAACACCGGGGAGCTACCTGGTTTCAGGACGATGTTTGCTTCGAAATTTCGTATTGCTCCGAGGGTACGCGAAAACACGCTTGGGAACTTTGCACGCAGGTTAGCTATCCTGTCATCGGTACTCAGAAACAAAATGGATCCCCAGTTGAGCTGCAGTTTCTCGAGCCATGTTCGTCCCAGGAGTACGGGTAGCTTGCGCTCACCTTTTCGCACGACAACAATCGGTAAAACAGCTGTCTGCCCTTCATAGCGCGCGTTCACAGTGCACTCTCCCACGACATGCATTTTCTGGCCCGTGTATGTTTTCAAAACTATAACACTGGGCTCACATTTCACATGCGACAGTTTAGCTTTGTACACACTTTCTGGTACAATAGTCACCGCGGCTCCCGTGTCTACCTGCATTTGTAGATCCTGACCTTCCACATTCATGGTTACTATGTAACCTTTCTTAGCCACTGAGTTCACTGTGCAATTGTACAACGTGTTCTCGTCGTCCTCGGACGACTCAGATACGCGGTGCGCTTTTAATTCCTCTTTGCTGGCTCGGCACATGTTTTGAAGATGACCTACTTTAGAACATTTCTTGCACGCATAGGTCTTATACCAGCAGTTTTCCGCCGCATGCGCCTTGCCGCAACGGAAGCACTTTTGTTTCTTGCCTTCCTGTCTAGTTGAGCTTGTAGTCTTTGTGACGGGCCGTTCGCTTGTTTTCATGGCGTTGATTGACCCGCTCCTGGTTCCCTCTTGTATCGCGGCGGTTTGCCTTGCGGCCAATTCCCTGTCGAGGGCTATTTTCCAGGCGCTGTCAAACGTTAAAGCTTCTTCTACGAACAGCGCTCTTTGCGTATCTTCGCTTCGAATCCCTGCTACCAGCCTGTCACGCAGGGCGTCCCTGAGGAATTCCCCGAAATTGCATTTTCGAGCAAGGTGTTTTAGTTCGACGATAAAGTCTTCCACGGACTCTTGTTCAAGTTGTACTCGCCGATTAAATTTGCACCTTTCCGCAATTACGGACGTTTTCGGACAGTAGTGGTTCTTCAGGAGAACCTTTATTTCCTCGTAAGTTTTTTCCCCTGGCAGCGCGGGGACTACCAAATTCTTCACTACTTCATACGCCTCCGCGCCAATTGCTGTCAAGAAAACTGGCAGCCTCTTTTCTGCAGCAATGTCATTCGCGGTCACGTAGTGTTCGAAACGTTCCACGTACGATTCAAAATTTTGGACCTTCGGGTCGTACTCATCCAGCTTTCCTAGCCGCGACATGTCCTGTCAGGTGAGCCAAGAAGGTACTTATCAAGTTGGCTCCGGAATCCGCCCCTGTAGCTTGCCTCTCCTGGGTCAACGTTGCTGCTCGTCGACGGTGGGTGGGCCAGGGCCGGCGAGTCCCATCTTCGTCGCCAGTTGAAATGACGCAGGCAAGCGATCTCGGTCCGGACGAAACCATAAAGAAAACATTTATTGCCAAGAACCGATTGTTCTTATATTCCTTCGGGGTGACGTCACACGGGCCGTGTGCAACTTATCGACTAGATAAGAACACTCGCGCTATGACAATATGTCTATTTGAAATTGAATAATAGGCACATACGCTAAAATACAATATACCTAATTTACAAAATTTTTTATAAATCTAAACTTTTTGGATTTGAACATATTGTAAATACGAGAAATTGGATCATTGTGTTTTTTTTCTTGTATGGATGCTTATGATTATTAGTTGAATTTACTGTCGTTGTTATTGATATCTGCTTAGCTTGTAATGGTAACTTTTTTATATTGCTTTTAGTATATAGTTTTCCTGCTGCGCGCCTGTCCCTGTACACTGTAGTCGGTCCAGGACACGTCAAGCAGCCTATGCAGCTCTTTTCCTTGATCGCCGCTATCATTTTGTGATGGAAATAAAAGTATATTGTTATTCTTATTGTTATTATTATTTGATTCGGTGCTTTATATGTGCTTGATATAGTTGCGTTTAAAAATGTCCCACCTTGGGCTTCCTTTAAACGAACTCCTTAACTGCAATCGGTTGTAGATAGTGAGAATCTTATGCGTATGTAGGCTGCTCTTCTCAAGTTTTCAAAGTCCGACTAGCTTTTCAAGTAAGCGGTTCTTTCAAGTTTGTGGATAGGCTTCGCTTGTTTGTACTGCACAAAACAATTTAAAAAATGATCCCATTGTATATCTACTATACTACTCTACATATGCAACAATACAAAACAGAAACAACGCAATGGCGAGCACACCCACTTCTTATCGTTCCTATCACTCTATAATGAAGGTAGCAAGCGGGAGATCGAATAAAGCCAACGTATATAAAACAAATTACAGCATCACATCAAGAGAGCTTCGCGGGTTTTTCCAGATTACAGACTACAGTTGTAAAACACCTGAGCTAACACGAGATGTTTTTTTTTTTCTACGTAAGTCCTGGGTTTTTATTATTCCATTAAGGCGTACCTCCCTCTGAGCGATCTAAATAAATTTGTACGAATGTATTTAAGCTATTGGAGCAATATGAGAGCTGTCTTTTTTAAGTGCAGATTTCTTAATCGTAAGAAGTACAATGAAACACCCTGTGCAAATAATTTTGAGTTTATTGAAAACTCGTTCACATTTCCGTCTCCGGAAACGTTGCCTGCATTTACACCCTCGTTTTACATTATATTTAATTTCGTTACTGCTTGCGGTTTTTGACATAGTGTCCAACTGTCGAGGCGAGGCAAGGCACCCGGAAATACCGTCGACACTGATTCTTAACTCATCACGCAGGATCGTGCGTGGAGATGACATTAACATAGGTACGTAGTCAAACCTGACCTTAAGTCGGTCACCGAACAAAAATACAGAAATAAACAATGGCGAAACGCATACTGCTTCATGGGCCCATAACGGGATCAAGCTCGAAGACAGAACAGCAAATAGTCAACTCACGCTGCACTAGCTGTCATCTCAGCGTGTGTTCCCATTAGGAATTGTGCACACATCAAAGTTCCTATTATTGATTTCTTGCTCACATTTGTTTAAACTTCAAAGGTAAAGTTTGTATTATTTTGTACTTTATCGATACGTTTCGCGAGATCAGATTGCTTTTTCCATCAGCGGTTCTGTACGCATCAAAGAATGTCACATTATATATTCTGTGTACGTCGAGCTTTCTAATGTTGATATCTCGCGCGTTGTGAAAGTTCAAAGCTCATTTTTAGTAATCGCTCGAAACGCTTTCCTCATTTATTTTATCCAAGCTACGAAATGTGTTTGATCGAGAGAAGTGCCGAACTTTTACTTCAGCGCCTACGTCAAAGTCTGCAGTTTTTATGCTTGTTTTTGTTTTACTTCTCGTATGTTTAGAAAATCTCGCTCCTTGTTCTGACTTGGAGTCTTCATTCCACTGTGTGCACATATTTGTATGGGCTTTGTAAATGTGACACATTGAGACTTTTGTTTCTCTCTTATTGTAAAGTTTAGTATGCGGACCTAATATTTCGAGTAGTTTATATTCTACAACGTATCAATTTTAATGGCTGACATCTTCTTATCTTGTGTGTTCACGTAAGAAGAAGAAAGAGGGGAAGGCTGGATTAAATGTGGGTATTTTCTGCAGACGCCCCATTCTAATCACTGTGTTAATTTCGTCTGAGATTAACTCGCGTTCATCAATTGACTGTTGACATCACAGCTGAAATCAAACAAAACACACTTGTCTCACAATAGAGTTAATACATATATTAAACGGTCCGCAAAAACGGGTGCCGCTTGCATGTTTTACTTCTAAATAACACTGCACAACCTACTTCGTATAGCGTGCTTGCAGTATCTGCCCGTTAACTGCCGAGAGTCTCCCGTGGAGTGAGAAAATATAAGACAGGAGCAACACACCCAATCCGTAACATCGTGTTTATTGACTTTTATTTGCCACACGTTTTGCCTAAAGGCGCCGGATGAATTTATTCGAGCATACAGGTACGGCCGTGGTGGTGCATGTTGGGACAGGTTTGAGCGAAACATGGCGGCATATACACACTGCGCGGTACTGTTAGCGCGAACACGACTTCAGCTTTGTCTCGCATCTTACTTCGAAAGGGTACTGGTGGGCGTCCACTTTTTCCGCTTAGGTTAGTATCCCAACTGAGCACTTTCCACCACGACAGTACACTTTTGATGAAAGTTCTTCAATACCAAAAGAAAAACCGAGAAAACCGACGATGGATTGTTCGCGCTAATAATGTCGCTGACTGTACTCTATTATACTCGTCACATATATTTCGTTTCATATTAAGTTCAGACGGAGCCGATGGTGCGAGGTAATGGGAGCAATCAAGCAGAGTCAAAAGCGCAACTCACTAGGCCTTTTTGGTAATGGTTGGTTCAGCGACGATAGAACACGTACAGAAACATGACGAGTATCATGAGGATATATATATATATATATATTTATATATATATATATATATATATATATATATATATATATATATATATCTAAGTTAGATTTACTTACGCAGGGGGTTGCCGTGCCGTCAGAACCCAGAGGTTTCATTGGCTGTGATTGGAAGGATAGTGGGTAGACCTGAAGGCAGCTAGCATTGAGGTCTATACCCTCTACCCTCTCAATCGAAGCGAATTAGAGCGCAACGTTTTGACAACATTGCAATTGCAAGAAGCAGACGAACTTGCGCTCCACATAGCCACAAACAGCCAAGAAACGCAGGACGCGGTTTATTATCTTCACGTTTCTTGTTCGTGATTAGTTGTCTGGCGTTTTAATTGGCTCATCTCGCAATATAATTGGCGACTTATCTACAGTAAGATGCTCGGCCGGAACCCACCTCGCCCGGCTTTGTCTATGTCCATGTATATGTCCATGTATATATCTATGGCTATGACTATTGCTCCACTAGCAAGCTTCATACACACACAATGTTGCCGTCGGCGCCAGTCTAGCTGATACCACGCACGCTCAGTTGGCGGTCACCGGAAGTAGAAACCAGCCACTCGGAAAACGGACGCCATTATATGCGACCAAGGAAACTCAAGTCAGCTTGCACCATTAACAAGACGGAACAACCTGTCTGTACATCCACTCCCCCTTCGCGTTACCACCTTCATAATAGCTAAACCCGCTTGAACTGGACGTCCTTCGCTAGTCTCGGCGCCTATAAAATTAATGGTTAAATGTTTTACAGAGCAGCCAGAGCGACTACATCCTTGAAAACCGCACATCGTAGCCCCCCCCCCCCCCCCCCCCCCCCCCTTTTCCTCTGCAAGCCAAGTGAAACGCTCAATGGAGGATCGCGCAATCACGCAAAGCGATGTTTCAGACACGGCGGTTATCCTCCGCGTGGTCAGACAAAGGGCCCGACGCGGTTCTTAACTATCTACTCTCGCCTGGAAACCTGACACAACGCAACAACGATGTGCGGCGCTCCGCTAGCGGATTGCGGATTGCCGTAACGGCTTCATAACACTGCTGAATGCAATTCACGACATTGGAGGGAGGTGGATTCACCACCACATTGTGTGTGTGTGTGTAGGGGGGGGGGGGGGGGAGGGTGGCGAGAAGTTAATCGGGTTTCAGCGCTTAGACAAAGAACCATTGCGTATCGTACAAAGTACAAAAAGAAGGTATTATATAAACGAAGAGAGACGGCATTGCAGGTATTGTAAGCGCTTAGTCATTCCACAAGTTACGGAGTATGCAATGTATACAGAATCGGTTGCTCAGTTCGTCAATGGCTTATCGTATACGACCCATTTACCGATCATTTTCATGCCAAGTGAACCCTCATTGGCTGTAAGTTGACCCAATTTACCTTTGTTTAAAAACGACAATTTAAGCCATTATTATGTTCCAGTTTTGCTTAGTCATGGGTAGGATTCTGTGTTTTCGGAGTTGATTATTTGCCCCATATTCAAAGTTCTTCGGAGTTTATTATTGCTACATTTTAAATATTTGTAAATTATGACTTTGATATTGTGGTTCCGAATTCAAAATTCAAAACAGAAATAAATATACCCGGGCTGCACTAAGTTCATCCGAACTCGCTCGTATAAAGTAATATTTCTCCACTTGGATTCGGCGTTGGCGCCCTTGCATTGTTATGACTAACTGTCCTAAATTAAGCTTAACTAGACTTCCTTAACTTTAAATAAAAGTGTCCTTCAATAAGCGTCGGAACTTTTAAATCAATAAACTCTTAAACGTAGTCGCTCGGAAACTCGTTTCCTTCCCATCCCGTTCCACCCATCCACCTGCTGCGCGCGGT